GATGGTGGTGATGGTGTGGGGCTGATGGTGGTGATGGTGTGGGGCTGGTGGTGGTGGTGTTGTGGGGCTGGTGGTGGTGGTGCTGTGGGGCTGGTGGTGGTGGTGCTGTGGGGCTGGTGGTGGTGGTGCTGTGGGGCTGGTGGTGGTGGTGATGTGGGGCTGGTGGTGGTGGTGCTGTGGGGCTGGTGGTGGTGGTGCTGTGGGGCTGGTGGTGGTGGTGTCGGGTTGGTGGTGGTGTTGTGGGGCTGGTGGTGGTGTTGTGGGGCTGGTGGTGGTGGTGTGGGGCTGGTGGTGGTTGTGCTCTGGGGCTGGTGGTGGTGCTGTGGGGCTGGAGGTGGTGGGGCTGTGGGGCTGGTGGTGGTGGTGTGGGGCTGGTGGTGGTGGTGTGGGGCTGGTGGTGGTGGTGTGCGGCTGGTGGTGGTGGTGGTGTTGTGGGGCTGGTGGTGGTGTTGTGGGGCTGGTGTTGGTGGTGGTGTGGGGCTGGTGGTGGTGTTGTGGGGCTGGTGGTGGTGGTGTTGTGGGGCTGGTGTTGGTGGTGGTGTGGGGCTGATGGTGGTGGTGTTGTGGGGCTGGTGGTGGTGGTGTTGTGGGGCTGGTGGTGGTGGTGTTGTGGGGCTGGTGGTGGTGGTAGTGTGGGGCTGGTGGTTTTGTGGGGCTGGTGGTGGTGGTGGTGTTGTGGGGTTGGTGGTGGTGGTGTTGTGGGGCTGGTGGTGGTGGTGTTGTGGGGCTGGTGGTGGTGGTGTTGTGGGGCTGGTGGTGTTGTGGTGGTGATGGTGTTGTGGGGCTGGTGGTGGTGGTGTTGTGGGGGTGTTGGTGTTGTGGGGCTGGTGGTGGTGGTGTTTCTGGGGGGCTGGTGGTGGTGGTTCTGTGGGGCTGGTGGTGGTGCTGCTGTGGGGCTGGTGGTGCTGGTGTTGTGGGGCTGGTGGTGGTGGTGGTACTGTGGGACTGGTGGTGTTGGTGTTGTGGGGCTGGTGGTGGTGGTGCTGTGGGGCTGGTGGTGGTGGTGCTGTGGGGCTGGTGGTGGTGGTGTTTCTGGGGGGCTGGTGGTGGTGGTTCTGTGGGGCTGGTGGTGGTGGTGCTGTGGGGCTGGTGGTGGTGGTACTGTGGGGCTGGTGGTGTTGGTGTTGTGGGGCTGGTGGTGGTGGTGCTGTGGGGCTGGTGGTGGTGGTGTTTCTGGGGGGCTGGTGGTGGTGGTTCTGTGGGGCTGGTGGTGTTGGTACTGTGGGGCTGGTGGTGGTGGTGCTGTGGGGCTGGTGGTGGTGGTACTGTGGGGCTGGTGGTGTTGGTACTGTGGGGCTGGTGGTGGTGGTGCTGTGGGGCTGGTGGTGTTGGTACTGTGGGGCTGGTGGTGGTGGTGCTGTGGGGCTGGTGGTGGTGGTGTTATGGGGCTGGTGGTTGGGAGGGGGAAGGGGTGAGGGGGATAGTGGGTAATATGCAACTCTTACCTGCTCCTGGTCTCCTCTACTTAGCTTAATTGATTCCTTGGATTATCTTAGCCTTCGACTAGCCAATTAATTACTCTGGGACTGGAGAACTTTCTTTGGCATTACCTCACAATCACTTGTGATGAAATAATAGACTATATCACATAGACTATATTCTATATAAAACTATAGAACCCCTTGTTCTATAGTTTCGAAAATTCAAACAATTACTGACGTTTTCTAAAAAATAGTATACAGTTTGTTGTATACTTATATTTATTTTTTTTAGGTTTCTTTACCCTAAAAAATTAAATTTTTGCCCCATTTGGGGTAATTTACCCCTGTTCCCCGCTCTTACCTCTTACTCTGGGAGTAAAGGCCACCCTTAATCTTAATTATAAGCTTTACTCACTCTAGCAACTATTTCCTAGCTTTAGTTACACAGGAACGGGCGTACTCGTCCCTTAGATAACCCAGAGAGCAGGGAAAGGGAATGGAGGGGGACTGCTACTCATTCTCAGGGCAGGACGAAGGGGGGAAGAATTTACATCGGTTATTAAGGAGGGCGTTTCTTCTTGAAGTTATCTTGAGATAATTTCGGGGCTTAACGTTCCCGCGGCCCGGTCCTCGACCAGGGCTTCTTTTTGTTACCCCCCCCCCCCCAGGAATCAGCCCGTAGCAGCTGTCTAACTCCCGGGTACCTATTTACTACTAGGTGAACAGGAGCATCAGGGTGAAAGAAACATTTTTGCCCATTTGTCTCCGCCTCCACCGGGGAGAGGAAAGGGGAGACTGCTGCCATCTCCTTTGTGTTTATTGACTGCAAAAAAAAGTATCTTTGTCTTGACCGGTTATCTCAACTCTGATAACCGTTACTTAAGTGTTGGTGGGACTTCATATGATTCAGAAGTCAGTTTTTATATTCCCTGTGTAGGATTTTTATTTCTTAGAACATTTTCCCATTGAATGTTTGTAAGTTTCATGTTTATTTTCTCCCAGTCTATCCTTTTATTATTAAAATTGAATTTACTGAAAAACCCTTCTCGCTTGTTGGTTCTCTTGGGCCTACTACCGTTATCAACCCCGCAGAATAACCTTGGAGTACTGATGAGTCTTTGAACTGACTCACCCCAGTCTTCAATGATTGTTACTCTTTGCACTAAATGGATTTCTGAACACAAGTATGTCACGTTGACATACTTGTGTCACTAAAGTGACATATTTCCACAGCAATTTAACCCAATAAACTGACATATTGGTTAGATCAATAAACAGTTTAACACAATACTTTAATAACTGGCTTAGTTGTCACGACTACTTTCCAAAATACAGAACTTGACCAAGTTCTCACCATTTGAGTCACGTTCATCAGGAACTTAAGTCACTGATAGAGATCTGAATGTACTGCGCAAGTGAAGCTTCTTCTGACACAAGACTGACATCTACCTGGATGGAATGATACTGAACTCTTCAAGAGTTCAGTGTCATTCCATTATGATACTGAGAGTGAATACTCTCTCCCAGCGTAATCCATCCGATCATTTTTCTGGCTGACGCAATATTTGCTTGGTTATGCTCCCTAAACGTTAGGTCGTCAGACATCATTATTGCCAAATCCTTTACATGCTATTTTCCTACTATGGGAAGATTCGATTGTGTTTTGTACCCTGTATTATGTTTAAGGTCCTCATTTTAACCGTACCTGAGCACCTGGAATTTATCACTGTTAAACATCATGTTATTTTCTGTTGCCCAGTCGAAAACTTTATTAATATCTGCTTGAAGTTTTTCAATGTCTTCAGCAGAGGTAATTTTCATGCTGATTTTAGTGTCATCTGCAAAGGATGACACGAAGCTGTGACTTGTATTTTTGTCTATATCTGATATGAGAATAAGGAACAGCAGTGGTGCAAAAACTATACCCTGAGGTACAGAGCTTTTAACTGCGCTTGGACTCGATTTTATTTGACTGCCTGTTACTCTTTGTGTTCTGTTCGACAGGAAATTGAGTATCCAGCATCCTACGTACTTTACCAGTTATTCCCATTGACCTCATTTTGTGTTTTATCACTCCATGGTCACATTTGTCAAATGCTTTTGCAAAGTCTGTGTACACAACATCTGCATTCTGGTTTTCTTCTAATGCCTCGGTGATTTTGTCGTAATGGTCATGTAGCTGTGAGAGGCATGATCTTCCTGCATGTTGGCCTGGATTGTGGAGGTCATCTGTTTCCATAAATCAAGTGACCCGACTCCTGATCACTGTCTCAAATACTTTTATTATGTGGGACGTTAGTGCAACTGGTCTACATTTTTTTTCCAATGCTTTGCTCCCTCCCTTGTGTAGAGGGGCAGTGTCTGCTGCTTTAAGCGCATCTGGTATCTCCCCCGTGTCCAAGCTCTTCCTCCACACTATACTAAGTGCCTGTGCTACCGGCACTTTGCATTTCTTTATGAATATTGAATTCCGTGAGTCTGGACCCGGGGCTGAGTGCATGAGCATATTGTCAATTTCTCTTTCAAAATCTGTTATGCTCGTGTTGATGTCAGTTATATTTACAGGTGTTTGAATATCATGCATATAGAAGTTGTCCGGATCTTCCACTTCCATGCTGTTTATCGGAGTGCTAAACATGTCCTCATATTGGACATGACCGGGCAGGCCGGTCGGCCGAGCGGACCGCACGCTGGACTTGTGATCCTGGGTTCGATCCCAGGCGCCGGCGAGAAACATTGGGCAGAGTTTTTTTCACCCCTATGCCCCTGTTACCTAGCAGTAAAATAGGTACCTGGGTGTTAGTCAGCTGTCACGGGCTGCTTTCTGGGGGTGGAGGCCTGGTCGAGGACCGGGCCGCGAGGACACTAAAAAGCCCCGAAATCATCTCAAGATAACCTCAAGAAGATATTGCTTTTTCAGAATTTCGTTAATTACTTTGTCATTCTCAGTGTATGAATCTTCACTAATACGAATAGGTCCAATACTGCCAGTGGTTTTTGCTTTTGATTTAGCATATGTGAAGAAATATTTTGTGAATTGCTTTATTTCTTGAATTGCTTTCTGCTCCAGTTGCCTTTCTTCAGTCTGATGTGAATGCTTCAGTCTCTGTTCGATTTCTTCAATCTCCCTGTTTAAGTTATTCCTTCTTTGTATGGAAAGTCGTGTCTGCTTAAGCATTTCCGTTAATTTCTTCCTTCATTTGTAATGTCGTCTGCGTTCTCTTTCTACATTGGACCTTTTTCTGGCTTTCCTCAAAGGAACATGATTCAGACAGACTTCATATGCTTCAGAAGTCAGTTTTTATATTCCCTGTGTAGGATTTTTATTTCTTAGAACATTTTCCCATTGAATGTTTGTAAGTTCCCTGTATATTTTCTCCCAGTCTATCCTTTTATTATTAAAATTGAATTTACTGAATAACCCGTCTCGCTTGTTGTTTCTCTTGGGCCTACTACCGTTATTAATGTTAGTTTGGACGTCTATGAGCTTGTGGTCCGAGTACGTAGTGTCTGAGACAGTAATGTGTCTGATTAGCTCATCATTGTTGTCATGGGCAGCTGGTCCTATGGTGCCCTTGCCATGGGCAGCTGGTCCCATGGTGCCGTTGCCATGGGCAGCTGGTCCCATGGTGCCGTTGCCATGGGCAGCTGGTCCCATGGTGCCGTTGCCATGGGCAGCTGGTCCCATGGTGCCGTTGCCATGGGCAGCTGGCTCCATGGTGCCGTTGCCATGGGCAGCTGGCTCCATGGTGCCGTTGCCATGGGCAGCTGGTCTCATGGCGCCGTTGTCATGGGCAGCTGGTCCCATGGTGCCGTTGCCATGGGCAGCTGGTCCCATGGTGCCGTTGCCATGGGCAGCTGGTCCCATGGTGCCGTTGCCATGGGCAGCTGGCTCCATGGTGCCGTTGCCATGGGCAGCTGGTCCCATGGTGCCGTTGCCATGGGCAGCTGGTCTCATGGCGCCGTTGGCATGGGCAGCTGGTCTCATGGCGCCGTTGGCATGGGCAGCTGGCCTCATGGTGCCATGGTTCTCACAGGGGTTGGTGCTCGGGCGACGTCCGTCTTTCTGCCGGCAATATATAATAACTTTTCCCGCCCATTTTCTTTCATTCTCATTTTTCTTAACGTTCAGTTCTCTCTGACATCACTGACGGCGAGACACAGAAAACGTTGCCCTCACGGAGTTGTTTTTTATTGGATAACTTTATTAAGACTCCCGTCACATTAGTTTTCCGGAAATGTGAGCTCATTATGGAGTGGGAGATGTGTTAAGGGTCGTTCTCAACAACGAGGTAACTTGGTGGTTCAGGGAGGGGAGGGGGGGGGAGGATAATATGCTGCAAAATAGCATTTTGAATCGGCCAATATATTGAAGCGCTTCTTTTGATTATTTCCCATAAGTCATCACACTACTCTGTAGGAAGATTGATTCGTGTGTGGGTCGAGCAGGAATATCAACAGATCTTTATCTTCATAAGACAATAAACTGCTAAAAGCCTTTACGAGGCTGCTCTAATTTCAATTCGCGCGCGTGCACACACACACACACACACACACACACACACACACACACACACACACACACACACACACACACAGAACTCGGAACAAAGTCAGTACAAGACATGATGGACTATGTCACCCAAAAATGTCAGGAGGCTGTAAGCAGGTTTGTCCCAGCCCAACAGGAAAAAACAGAGAAGCAAAGGAAGAATCCGTGGTTTAATAGGGAATGTATGAAAGCAAAGGAGCTGAACAAAAGGGCATGGAGGAACTTCCGTAATAACAGAACACCAGAAAGTAGAGAGAGATACCAGAGAACCAGGAACGAGTATGTCAGTGTGAGAAGAGCAGCTGAGAAAAGGTATGAAAAGGATATAGCTAATAAAGCCAAGACCGAACCAAAGCTACTACACAGTCATATCAGGAGGAAGACAACAGTGAAGGAACAGGTGATGAAACTTAGGGTGGGCGAGGACAGGTACACAGAGAATGACAAAGAGGTGTGTGAAGAACTCAACAAAAGATTCCAGGATGTCTTTACAATAGAACAGGGAGAAGTCACGGCGCTAGGAGAGGTGGCAGCAAACCAGGTGACCTTGGAAAGGTTCGAAATTACAAGAGATGAGGTCAAGAAGCACCTATTGGAGCTGGATGTGAGAAAAGCTGTTGGGCCGGATAGAATCTCACCATGGGTATTGAAAGAGTGTGCAGGAGCACTTTGCTTGCCACTCTCCATAGTGTATAGTAGGTCACTGGAAACGGGAGACCTACCAGAAGTATGGAAGACTGCTAATGTAGTACCAATATTTAAAATGGGTGACAGACAAGAGGCACTGAACTACAGGCCAGTGTCCTTAACTTGTATACCATGCAAGGTGATGGAGAAGATTGTGAGAAAAAAACCTAGTAACACATCTGGAGAGAAGAGACTTCGTGACAACCCATCAACATGGGTTCAGGGAGGGTAAATCTTGCCTTACAGGCTTGATAGAATTCTATGATCAGGTGACAAAGATTAAGCAAGAAAGAGGAGGATGGGCGGACTGCATTTTTTTGGACTGTCGGAAAGCCTTTGACACAGTACCCCATAAAAGGTTGATGCATAAGCTGGAGAAACAGGCAGGAGTAACTGGTAGGGCGCTCCAGTGGATAAGGGAATACCTAAGCAATAGGAAGCAGAGAGTTATAGTGAGGGGTGAGACCTCAGAATGGCGTGAAGTCACCAGTGGAGTCCCACAGGGCTCTGTGCTTGGACCTATCCTGTTTCTGATATACGTAAATGATCTCCCAGAAGGTATAGACTCATTCCTCTCAATGTTTGCTGACGACGCCAAAATTATGAGAAGGATTAAGACAGAGGAGGACAGCTTGAGGCTTCAAGAAGACCTGGACAAGCTGCAGGAATGGTCGAACAAATGGATGTTAGAGTAATCACCCCAAAGAATGAGGTGATTTGGTAAAATGCTATGCCCAAGATTACCATCCGAGTGCCGGCGGTGGGGTGGTTCAAATAGCTTTGGCTATCACCTCATTTTGTCCGGTCGTGATGGTCAAGTGGATTAAGGCGTCTTGTACATACCAGTTGCGTTGCTCCTGGGAGTATGGGTTCGAGTCACTTCTGGGGTGTGAGTTTTCAGTTGCATATTGTCCTGGGGACCATTCAGGCTTGTTCGCATTTGTGTTCCTCACGTGTGCCCCAAAGAATGAGGTGATTTGGTAAAATGCTATGCCCAAGATTACTATCCGAGTGCCGGCGGTGGGGTGGTTCAAATAGCCTCGGCTATCACCTCATTATGTCCGGTCGTGATGGTCAAGTGGATTAAGGCGTCTTGTACATACCAGTTGCGTTGCTCCTGGGAGTATGGGTTCGAGTCACTTCTGGGGTGTGAGTTTTCAGTTATATATATATATATATATATATATATATACATATATATACATATATATATATATATATATATATATACATATATATACTATAATATCACACTGCTAGTGTCACTTTTGCACCGGCCACTGTAAAACTCCTGCAATCTTCTTTTCCCGGCGGGTATACTTTGTCGTCTATTGCACACCACTCGAGTTTCACGCCAACGTAAATACACTTTTTTATTTACGTTGCTAACCTAACTATTCTAGGCGTAATACACGGTATCTGAGACTTAATATAGTACATATATGTGCTATACTAGGCCTAGGAATTGCGGAAGGAATTGTTTCAGAGGAAGTGTCCTCTGAAACATTTCATCACTGTGCAATTAATGTGAACAATTTGTTAAAGGAAACGTTATCTTTTAATATCAAAGGAAGTTCTAAATAGGATCCATAATGAACAAATTGTGACGGTTATGAATAGGGGCAAGGGGCATCAAGGTGAAAGAAACTCTGCCCATCTGTTTCCGCCTCCAACGGAGATCGAACCCGGAACCGCAGGACTACGAATCCCGAGCGGTGTCCTCTCGGCTGTCAGGACCTAACCAAGATACTCGAAAAGAAAGTTATAATTTTTAAGCCACGTTATTTCCCTTATTCTCTCCAGTCGTTAAGTGTTTCCTCAGACAGACAAACTGTAAATAACAATAATCTATGATATAAGCAATCATGACTGTTTAGGAAAGGAAGTTAGGTGAGTAAAGAAGGAAATAGAGCACAAGTTTAGGACAAGGATACGAGAGCAAGCAAGACTTGGCAGAGATCCGAGACCAAGCAAGACTTGGCAGAGATCCGAGAGCAAGCAAGACTTGGCAGAGATCCGAGACCAAGCAAGACTTGGCAGAGATCCGAGACCAAGCAAGACTTGGCAGAGATCCGAGACCAAGCAAGACTTGGCAGAGATCCGAGACCAAGCAAGACTTGGCAGAGATCCGAGACCAAGCAAGACTTGGCAGAGATCCGAGACCAAGCAAGACTTGGCAGAGATCCGAGACCAAGCAAGACTTGGCAGAGATCCGAGACCAAGCAAGACTTGGCAGAGATCCGAGACCAAGCAAGACTTGGCAGAGATCCGAGAGCAAGCAAGACTTGGCAGAGATCCGAGACCAAGCAAGACTTGGCAGAGATCCGAGACCAAGCAAGACTTGGCAGAGATCCGAGACCAAGCAAGACTTGGCAGAGATCCGAGACCAAGCAAGACTTGGCAGAGATCCGAGACCAAGCAAGACTTGGCAGAGATCCGAGACCAAGCAAGACTTGGCAGAGATCCGAGAGCAAGCAAGACTTGGCAGAGATCCGAGACCAAGCAAGACTTGGCAGAGATCCGAGACCAAGCAAGACTTGGCAGAGATCCGAGACCAAGCAAGACTTGGCAGAGATCCGAGAGCAAGCAAGACTTGGCAGAGATCCGAGACCAAGCAAGACTTGGCAGAGATCCGAGACCAAGCAAGACTTGGCAGAGATCCGAGACCAAGCAAGACTTGGCAGAGATCCGAGACCAAGCAAGACTTGGCAGAGATCCGAGACCAAGCAAGACTTGGCAGAGATCCGAGACCAAGCAAGACTTGGCAGAGATCCGAGACCAAGCAAGACTTGGCAGAGATCCGAGACCAAGCAAGACTTGGCAGAGATCCGAGAGCAAGCAAGACTTGGCAGAGATCCGAGACCAAGCAAGACTTGGCACAGATACCAAAATTAGGGAAGCCTGACAGACAATACCAACGACAAATGACAAGAAGTTATGACAACTGACATGAAGAAATTGTTAAACATATGATGATAAAATCGATTGGCTGTAAATAGGATAAATAAAATAGGAAGCAAAGAGGAATTGTTTAATTAAAAACAAATTAAGAGTTAAGAAACAAAATGAGAAGAGGAAGTGTGTGAAGCGACAGTAAAGGGAAGGAGGAGGAGGAGGAGGAGGAGGAAGGAGAATAAAGGAAGTGGCTATCCGCGTCAGAAATTTGCAAGTAATTTCCGGTGGATGGTGTCTGAAGGAGACGCCTGGGATGAGGAACCACTCACGGGAGCACCTCAGGAATATATTAAGTTGGCCCAAAAACACTTAAGATTCAGCAAACCCAACTGTAAGTAAGACTCCAAATGTTTGCGTCACCCTCGAGACGGGATACTGTAGCAACTCGCTGACAACTTTGTTGTGTTCCGACACATTGGATTTTAGTAGATTAATATAAATGTTATAGTGGGAAGGCAGAGTCCTTATAGAGGAAACTAATACTATTTACTCTGTCTTCTTGCTGTCAATAATATTGAATGATAATGAAATATAATACTTTTTTATTCTCCAGTTTATTTCTGATATTGATGTGTAATATCAGAAATTCATAGGCGAATCGGGAAGTATTATAATTCATTATCAATATTATTATTGTTCTTGATACCATTATTCGAGTATATAAATTAGTTTTAGTTCATTTATTATGCACCCCATACCCATCCTGTGGGCAGTAGTGGAAAGGATTATAGACATTATAAGGGGCTCGGGGACTGAACCTCAAAATTAATTTAGCTAAAGAAGTTAGTCTTGATGAACTAGTTACATAATTCACTGCACAACAT